TTCGTGTGTATTACCTACTAAATGATCTCAATGTTTATTAGATACTCTCAATGTCTATTAGATGCTTTCAACTTTTAACAATTTGACCACAACAACCATTGAAAAGGTTAGAAAGTTGAAAGGATTTGAAATGTGCTTTATTAGAATGTTAAATTAAGTGTATTATGAGAGTTAGATTAGGAGGAAAAGTCATTAGAATTGGATCGATCGCTGCCATTAGAAGAGGTGAAGCCTTTCTCACTAGATCGAAAACGTTGACCGTCGCAACAACAACAACAACAACAATGTTACATTGTGAAATTAGCTGAATAAACTTGAACGTTGCCATGATTCAGATAAGATCGATCAAATGCAAGATTCGAAAGAAGATTGGTTGAAGCAGATGAGTAGTGAAGAGACACTGGTTTTCAGGGGAACTCGGGGGAATCAATATTTGATTCCCATATGTGGCACCTCTATTCTAAAGTGTAACAAGATATATACATATGATAAGGGAGGAGGTTACTTTGATTTGGAGGCTAGAGCTTCCAGTACGTCGGAGCGAGGAAGACCTACAAGGTTAGCACTCCAACGCCAAAGTCAGTGAAGTTTTTAAAATGTAGTTTGAGAGTGAGAATAAAATGACACCTAAAATGACACATAATTTAGTTTATACATGGTAGATTGTTTAAAATTATTTTGTCTATCCCAACATGTGATGCGGGGAGTTGTCCGCTCAGATCTAAAAGCAAATAATGCACTAGTAGTTGGGATCAAATGTTTGGTCATTGGCGAGATTTCCCCATTTCATTTGTTTGTTGAATGGATACTTTGAATCGAGCCTCACAATTAATCCCACCTATTTTTACTTATGGATAACCTGGATATACATTGTGTAAAGATATTTTACTCGTAATGGCCAAATATAGAATTACATTTCTTTTTTAACTGCATATAAAGTAACATTTATCAAGAGTTTTTTTTTAATAAGCAAGAAAGATTATATTCAAATGAGCATAAGGGGTACTTAATCCTAATACAAGCTAAAAAGCAAAGAAACCAAAATAAAAAGGAAAGTAAACAAGATAAAATAGAACACACCAACAATAACTAAGAGATACAAACCAAATGGCTTAAGCATCAATCCTTCCAACAATAGAGAAATGGTCCTTTGGAACCAGCCACAACCCATTTCTAAGAGAAAGATTCTTAGGCATTCCCTTAATGAGATCCCTAAAAGCCTTCAAATGATCTACCACCAAGACACAAGCAGGAAACTTGACAAAATCAAGCAAACTCAAAAAAGCTTGACAAACATGAGCAACAACGGGGCAGTAAGGAAAGACATGAATGTGCACTTCTCTAAGGATCAAACAAAGGGGACAAACTAGACTATGGGGACCGCTTATAACACATATATTAGCAAGCTCATCCCTAGTTGGGAGCATACTTTGAAGAAGTCTCTAAGCAAAAACCTGAATATTGCCAGGCACATTTATCTTCCACAAAACCTTTAGTTCTTACAACAAATAAATATTAGAAAACGATCCATCAAGAGAAATGTCTTCCAGCGTGAAAAAAAAAGCTTTTATAAAAAACCCATAAGCATTGTGCCACTAAGTAAAAGAATTAACTTTATCATGCTTGAGATGCACCTCGAATAAGAGGGTCTGAAACACCTCTAACTCAAGCCTACATGCCACCATTATCTAGCTAGGAGAAAACCTCATATTTCAGTACCATATATCGTTTTGCCACCGCCCTAAATCACAAAATTTTGGCCTAGATTGTTGAAATATATCAAATAAATAAAGAAACATCTAACTCAATGATTCGCACCCAATCCGCTTATCCCTTCACAAATCAGTATCCAGACAATTTCCTAATTTGTAATGCACATTGTTACCTGGCCTATTAGAGTCATCCTTCCATACACATATAGTTTCCCTAAAGTCTCTCCACCAAATAGATGTCTTCCTATTGTTAAGAGACCAACTGGGATCAAGAAGTTTTGCATTAATTTCCCTGTATTTGAAAGACAACAGGGAAAACCAAATTGAATTTGATTAGAAAGAATCCACCAAGCCCATTTGTTCAACAAATCCAAATTAAAGGTATTGCAACATTTGAACCCTAAACATCTGACTTCCTTTGATTTGCAAACATTTGACAAAGATACTCAATTAATTACCGTCTTATTTCCTTAACCACCCCGCAAGAAAGCTCGTTGAATTTTAACAATTTCTTGAACCACCACCTTCGGGGTTCTATAAAAAGAAAAGAAGAAAAGTGGAATAGAACTCAAAACAAAATTTAGGAGCATGATACGACCTCCTAAAGAAACACTTTTACCTTTCCATCCTAAAATCCTACTACAAAGCATAGCTAAAATAGGATCCCAAGTTGTTCGTCTTTGAGGATTCGCACCAATAGGAAGACCTAAGAAGATGAAAGGAAATGATCTAATTACACATGAGAGGAAATTTGAGGACGCTTCCATGAAACTATCATCAACATTGGAACATAAAATATTATTTTTGTGAAAGTTTGCTCATAAATTGGAAGACATCTAAAAACCATGCAACATTACTTTTATGGACTACATATTATTACATGAAGCCTCTCCCACAATGGCAGTGTCATCTACGAATTGAAGTAATTCAAACTAGAGGTTTTCAAAATGTTTAAAAGGATGGAACTCCCTTGATCTAATAACATTTTGCATCAAACACGTAAAACCTTTAACATCAATAATGAATAAGAAAATGGATACATGATCCTCTTGGCGCAAACCTCTTCTTGCTTGTAAATCCAAAGTGAGACTCCCATTGACTAAGACAAACAAAAGATCTGGAAAAACATGCATAATTTATTCCACTTCATCCACTTACTACCAAACTTCGCGTGATGTAAACCATTTCTCCCGAATCTTATCTTCATGAAGGAGTGGAAAATTTTGAAATTTGGTCGCCTTCACGAATCCATCTACATCTTGACTTCTGTATAAGGATTGATTCGTGAATTTGAAGCTTTTTCCAAACCAAGTTATGAGATTCTACGCTTTTATCAGGAACCTCTGACCAACACTTAACATCATCAGTCGTGACTGATTGATCCAATGCATTTAAATCCTTAATTTCCTCTTCAACCCCCAAGCCCAACTTCCCAAATACCTCATAATTCTAAGATCTCACCCTCATTTTCAACAATTCAAGCTCCTCCTTGAACACGAAAACATTCTTACATCAAACCTTGATTGATTTCCAAGACTTCTCAACAACAAAAACAAAGTTTGGATGTTTAAATCAATAAGAGAAGACCTTGAAGGGTTTATGGCCCCAATTAGAGAGATTAGCCCTAATCCATATTGGACAATGATAAAAAAAATTCTCTATTACCAAAAAATTGTCCTTTTAGGCCCCGTTTATCTATGATACCTTAAAAAAAGAGAAACTTGTCAAGCTTGCTCACAACATTTCCCATAGTACTGTTGAACAATGTAAATTTGCTCCCTATGTCTAGAAGATCTACAAAATCCATTATACAGATAAACTCACAAAATTCAAGCATCTTAGAGTTGTTGATTTGATCAATAACCCCTTTCTCTCATTGGCCCTTTCAATGTCGTTAAATTCACCAACCAAACACCAATCACTAAGAAGAAAAATACTTTTAAACTTGATTAACTCGATCATATCTTCCTTTTGTTACTAATACAACAACAAGAATAAATGTTAACTTGTAAAATATTGAACATTTCTATTTCAATTGAATCTTCACAAAGCCTTCACCAATAAAACTGGAAAAAACCTCGAAGAGACTAAGTTCCCACATAAGAATTAGACCTTCGGATCTAACTAAAGCACGCTTAACCGTCCAATTCACTTCTTTGCTACCTCATAAAAAAAGTAAAAAAAAAACAATTAAATCCTCCACATTTTGCAACTTAGTTTCTTGAAGCAAACATATATCCACCCTACATGTTAAAATCAACTTATTAATGGATTTTCTCTTTATTGAATTTCTGCACCCCCTGGTATTATAAGAAAGCAAATTCATTTAACACTTTTGTTATTTACGTCCTTTAATTTGTGCTCAACTTGATCATGTTTTTCAAGCCTTTTAACTTCAGTTACATAGGTGTTATTGTCATCCTCACCCCTAATACCAAACTCCAAAGCTTTCTTCCATGCCTTAGAAGCCACAACCTCATCTTGCTTTGCCTAAAACCTTATATTTCTCAGGACTACATCAAAATCAATAATGGAATCGCATCATAGACCTACCAAAGAATTTATCCATTTAGGCTAAAGAAGAAAAATACTAAGATGGTAGAAATAGATATTTAGGTTTGTTAGGTTTAGGATGAAGCAAATAGGAGAAGTAAGATGGTTTAGCATAAGGAAGAGACTTAGACAATTTTGAAAGAGAGTTTGATAATTTTAGAAGCCTCTTGAACGGATCCCCCATTTTCAATAAATTCTCGCATCTACGTGTGGGTGTGGCAACCAAAGAAAGAGACTTAATAGATCTAATAGTAATCGATTAAATGTCCACTTCGCCTAAATCTGAAAACCTCTCTAACATTTTTCGATTTGAGCAAAGTTTGAAAATTTGTAAATAACTTAGTTTTTGACTCACGAGTTTTGTATGAAATAATAACTCAACTCACTTTAAATGCATCGCGAATGGAAGAAAACAAATTTATAATAAAATAATACAATTTCATAAAATCATTGATGATTCAAAAATGATTGAATTGAAAATTGTTAATGACGGATAATATAAAATAATTAATCTCATAAATTAACTTATTTTATTACCTCTTATAATTTTAAAATAAATATATAAACCCTAATTATTGACTATTATTCCCCATAATTTAAAAGAAAGTTAATGACAAATAAAATTCTATCTTCTAATAGATTTTGTAGTTAGCGTGGCAGTTGTAATGAAGTTCAAGATAATTACTTACTACCTTCACCAAGCAACCGAAGATATTTGTTTTAAGCACCCCGTGGATGGCTCGTCTATCGTTAAATCCAATCGGTCTCCATAGATTCCGACCATGCTTTCAACCTTCTCAATCCACCCTATATCCTCGCCACCGCCATCGCTACATCAAATTTCCAAAATTCCACACCTTAGCCTGCCAAACAGATCCAAACCTTACCGAAAAAGATAATCCCTCAACAACACCGGTAAAAGCACTTATTTCCATTACTATCAACTCGTTTTGATTATTTTCATTTCATAGCTTAATTCCTTTGAATTAATGGTTTCACTTCAGCCTCAGGAAATACGAGTTGTGGTTGAGCCTAGTAGCAGTAAAGAGGAGACGACAAGTTCAACCGTTGATTCTGCTGAACTTCCTCAATTGCCAAATAAAGACGTCAGCAGAAAAATCGCAATTGCTTCTACTTTAGCTGCTTTGGGACTTTTCGTGTTTACAAGATTGGATTTTGGTGTTTCTTTAAAAGATCTCTCTGCTGTTGCATTGCCTTATGAACAGGTTCATTAACACCCTTTTCACTGTCTCTATCTTTGCATACAAAAATTTAGGAGAAGCTTGAATAAACAACTAAATTATAAGCTTAAATAATAAACTTTTATTAATTAAGTATTTTTGTGTAAGTTATTTCTGGCCTCAAAAGTGCTTATGTTAATATATAGATTTAAATCGAGAATTTCTTAATGCATCTTAAATACTTTTTAACCACCATGGGAAATTATTAAAATGTCTTTAGTTTTAGAGATACATCTCCGAATACACCTATTTCTAAATAAATAAACATTGAAATGTTCAGGTATTGTATTTTCAGAACCATTTAGCATTCAATACATCCCATTTAAAAGCCATTTACATTTAAATTGTACTGGAGTTGCATCTCCGTAAATATTTCAGAGATATATCTTCGAAATGTATCCGAACAAGTATTTAATGCTATAAGTTATTTATCTTTGTTTAGATGAAGTATAACGTACCATCGGAAATAAAAAAATAGACGTACATAATTCTAGATGGACCAAAAATGCTATACAAAAATAAAATAGTAATATATCGAAAATGTCATACAATCGATATCTAAAATGTAGTAAGACCGTCAAAATAAAGTACATACCATAGTACTACAACAAAATAATAAGAGACTACTACTGCATGTGTCTGACAACCTCTCTTCTACCTCCTCTGTCTGCTCTACCTAATCGGCCATCAATCTCTCGTATTCTCTGGCGATGTCTCCCGTACAAACAATGCCCCCAAACTTGAAATAAAAAAGTTTGGAACATACGAATCATCGTTAATGATTTTTTTAGCAAATATGAAATGAAAATGACAAAAAACATTCAAAGATCAACAGGAATAATCAGTGCCAGAAATAATCAATGTCGGGATTAATCAATGTCAGAAATAATCAATGTCAACAATTAAAATTAACGTAAAAAAATAAAGAATCCAACTAATGTTACCTCTCGGTCTCAGATATGTCTGACAGTATTGTCTGGATACAAAGGCAGTAAGGACAAATCAAATGGACCTTCTCCAAAAGCCTCTGCCTCGGCATCCGCAGCAGACTCACCCTCCAAAGGTGGCAGTGGATTACCAGCTTCATCACTAAGAGATGAGACTGGATCAGCAACATCATCCGTAGGAGGTGACACTGGTGAAACCTGACGCCTGCGGAAGGATGAGGTAGTAATGTGTTAAATGGTGACTCCCGTCTCCTACCGGAAGGTGAAGGTGGAGTGGCCTGAGCAGAAGCACGAGTCCTAGAAGTAGACGGCTATGTGATCAGGAGGACCTGGAGCTTTCAGAACCTGCCGACTCCACTCCCGCCGAACGGATGCGTGCATGTCTATCGCCATTATCCTTGTAAGTTAGAGTAAGACATACCATTAATGCACGCAAACAACACACAAGTAAGAAAGTAAAAAATAAAAAAAAAAATACTGTAGGAAATTCCGGAGATGCATCTCTGGAATTTCCTGCAGAATATTAAACGCTGAGCAATTCCGGAGATGCATCTCTGGAATTTACTGTAACTCAAAATAACGTCAATGGCGTAATGTACCACATGCAAGGTCAAAAAAATTTGTTCTAATCACCATTTTCAGCCAACAAACAACTAATATACTATGTCTAAACTATGTTAGATGTGACTTCTACTCATTTCTAATCCTAATCATTGATTTCTACTCATTTATACCAAAACTCAGATATTTATCGAAAACTCGAAAAACTTATTTGAAATTGATGTTTTGATGAAGTTGGATGATGTTAAAGATGAAGATTGACGTTCCATTGAGTTTCCTTGAGTCTTGTTTGATGAAATTTGACTTGGTGCAGAGTAGTGTATTGAGAGAGATTGAGTTGAGTTTGAGAAAATTGTGAAATGAGGAAGGAGAAGAGTCTGATGCGACTTATGCTTCAAAATATTTCGAAGATTCATCTCCATAATATTTTAACGTTAACTTACATTTGAGTGCGTCCGGAGATGCATCTTTAGAAACAGGGAGCATTTATGGAAATTTACATGGTGTGGTAAAAACACATAAGGTGCCCTAAGAAGTTCTCTTTAAAAACTCATTTAAACTCATTGGGTTGGGTTGTGCCAAAACTCAACTATTAAAAATGAGGTCTTTCTATGAAGCATGACTTGTAACACCAATCGTTAGTCGTGATTGGCGTTGTACTTCGTAGAAAGGACCACAGTTTAATCTCTCGCAACTGTGATTAGGAGGAGGATGAAATTACTTGATGGCATAACTGATCCTCCGAACCGGATTAATTGGTCAAATGAACCAGATAATAATGGTGGAAAAAAAATGAAAAGTTACAATCTTAAATTAATAAACTAATTGTTTTAAAGTGAGTTTTTTATATTCAATTATATGTTTCTAATTTATTCAACAAGTTTTGAAGTTCATTTGAGGTTGTAATTGTTACATTTTATCTGCTCCGTATTTTCTTATAGTGTTTGTACTTTACTTTTGGATGTTTATTGCTACAGGCTCTTTCGAATGGGAAGCCTACTGTTGTGGAGTTTTATGCCGATTGGTGTGAGGTTTGTAGGGAATTAGCTCCTGATGTCTACAAAATAGAGCAGCAGTACAAGTAATCACTTTTATTTCTCACTTATGTTGATGCTTTATTTTGAGGGAAATTCAAATGCCAACATTTTGTACTATATTTGATATAGTTTATGGTTTTTCTTGTACTGATTCTCAATCTTAGCATTGTTTTACTTCATAAATCAGGAATAAAGTGAACTTTGTGATGTTGAATGTGGATAACACGAAATGGGAACAAGAGCTTGACGAGTTTGGTGTGGAGGGTATTCCGCACTTTGCCTTCCTTGATAAACAAGGGAATGAAGAGGGGAATGTAGTAGGTAGACTTCCAAGGCAGTATCTACTTGAAAATGTTGATGCACTTGCTCGTGGTGAAGCATCGGTGCCTCATGCGCGAGTTGTAGGCCAATATACAAGTGCTGAAGCAAGAAAGGTGCATCAAGTTGTTGATCCAAGAAGTCATGGTTAGATGACAACGTACAATACTTTATTTTTACTGTTCTGAAGTAAATTGTTAGATCTGTCAATGAGTAACATTTCAATAGACAAATTATGTACATTCTACAAGCCTGTTATAGATTAGGATCTAAAACAAGATATGAATGGCAATTGTTAGCTCAAATGTCTATTTTCATACAATCTATGTGCACTTAAAAGCTTATAAGTTCATTACATTGCTTGTTACTAAGTACTAATGTATTTGAACAATGTATATCTGTTTATCTGCCATTATAAATTTATGAAACTCTCGGTCAATCAGAAATGGCTGCTTTAGTGAAAAGCGGAAACAACATTCTTGTGCGGCTTTGATGATTCTTAAGAACCAATGACTTAGAAATTGACATTTTGCTGTCATGTTTACAAATTTGAGACTTGGCGAAAACAACAATGATACATTAAAACTGTCAAGTGCTGCCTTTCTTAGGCATTACTTAGACTACTGATTCATCAAAACTCCTCTGAATTTGCACATTTCTATCTTTAGCTGTGCTTGCTGAAGAATAAAATAATGTAGCCTAAAGTTGTTGGTCTTTTCGAATCATAATATACAATAGTAACTATTCGTAGTTTACATCTTGTCTGCATATAAATTTTGTGTAACTATTGCTGATTATTTTTGCATACAAGCTTTTATATATATGCCTTAAGTATTATTCACATCGTTGGCGGCTTGTCACCGAACGATATTTCCCAACAAGCTGTTTGTTGAAGGCGAGCTATTTCCACTCGACCACGGATTATGCACCGATACAGGGGAACTGTCCTTCACTTCCAATTCCATAGATTGCAGCAAGTCTTCATTCTTGGGTGGAACAATCAATCCTTCACTTTCTTGTCCTACTTTATTCAACTTAATACCACTCACTGACTTCTCACTTCCATCACGTGGCGATGAACTCACAGACCCAACCGATGAACCCAAGCATATAGCTTCCTCCATAGTTGTCCATGCACGACGTCTGATGTACTCCAGCTCTTCTGCCACTTCCATCATTGTTGGCCTTGTGTCACTATGAAAAGCAAGACATCTAAATGCAAGCTCAGCCACCTTATGAATGGAATATAGAGTCCAAGCATCTCTATTTGGTTCAATGAAGGGATCTACAATCTCATCTATAGAACCCCTCCTAATTCTATCAACAGCAAGTGCAGCTAAATTAATCTCACTCTGAGGTCTACCAAAATCAACCACTTTCATGGCAGTTATAATCTCTACCAAAACCACTCCAAAGCTGTACACATCACTTTTATCAGAAAGGTGGAAGTTCTGGTGGTATTGAGGATCCACATAACCCGGAGTCCCTTGTGGAGCAGTTGAAATATGTGATGTCTCTATCATACCAAGCCTAGAAAGCCCAAAATCAGCTACTTTAGATTTGTAGTTATAATCCAGTAGTATATTACTGGATTTTATGTCTCTGTGGTAAATTGGTGGATGAATTGCAGAATGGAGATAAGCTATAGCATTAGCAGTTTCAGAAGCAATGGTGAGTCGTATCGTCCACGGAAGACCTTTACCTCTCTCTCTTTGCAAATGCTGAGACAGTGTTCCATTTGGCATATATTCATAAACAAGTATCTGCTCTCCCTCTTCAATGCAGCAACCTAGGAGGCGAACCAAATTAGGGTGACTCACCGAAGAAAGGAGCTTGATCTCATTCATTACTTGATCAACACTGTTAGTGTCTCTATGTCTTATCTTCTTGATTGCAACAAACTCATCATTGTGAAGTTTTCCAGCATAGACAGTGCCGAAAGCCCCGGTTCCTAGTGTCTGTTTATCGGAGAAAGAATTTGTGGCCTTTTCTATATCTTTGTAAGTGTAGAGAGGCACAATAGAGTTCCCTGCAGCTTCACGTAGTAGGCGCTTTACTCTCGTATGCTTTCTCAACCAAGTAAAACGACGCCTAGCACAGTAGCATAGAAGAACGAGGGCAGCCACGATCACAACTCCGGTTATAATCACTGTTAAATGGGAGCAATCACATAGAATGAATCAATACTTTTTGTCATATTTGGCCTTAACATTTTGTCAGTATGTAATAGTAGGACCGATGGAACGAGTGTAACAAAGCATAAGAACTAATTATTATTTTCTTAGGTACGAGAGGAATGAAAGAAAGGTTATACCTCCAACAGCAACACCGATTTTGGTTGCACTCCCACATCCTCCGGATGTTAGTGTTGAAGCACTGCATCTTGGAGCTGATGATAAGGCAACCATAGACAAATAATTAAAAAGATGACAATTTATACTAATTGATCAGATGAAGAAATAAAATTAATCAGCTTTAGAGTATTGATAGTTATTCTTAACCAACTGGTTCAGATGACCTAGTTCTTTGTCAACTGAGTCACAAAGAACTTTTCACAAAAAAATGTTTGTTTAGTTTAGATAAAATCTTAAGATATTTTGATTAATTATTCTTCTGGAAATGTTTAATAATAAATAAACCAGATTAAATATAAAAACTATTCAAAGTCATGCAAAACTAAAAAATTGCTGCAAATAACATGGCACAGCTCAGCAAATGTTTGACATTTAGTTCTCACTATGTCTGATAGATGTTTACTAGAAAAACTGGCATGAAACTCAATTTTCTGTCAGCAAAGTATGGAAAGGTAAAAAAAAAAAATAGCTCTGTCAATTATGTCTGCATGCTTTAAGTTAAAGTTACAAGTAATTTGGTTAATCAATATTTATATAAGATCATATCCTAAATTTTAATTCCTCTAAATCTCTGATTGTGATTCTGTGAATGTATCCTCATCTCTCTCTTTTGACCACCAATAAAAAGTTCAAGTCAATCTTATTCTTCGCTACCATACATGTGCAGCCACTGATGTTGACTTTTTAAGGATTAAATCTTTGTTAATAAGTTCCCATTCAAAACAAAACAGCACACCGAAAACAACTAATTCAAGATAAGAACATTCATTTCCCATATCCTCATCCTCTTTTCCATGACAATGAATTTCATTATCAGAAGCATCAAAAATAGTATGCATAACATTTTAAAAAGAAACCAAGCAAAGCAATCAATTGTTGCTTTCCTTTCATATTTCACTTCAAAATAAAGGAGCCTAAGAGGACCCTCAAGGTCCACAAGACTAAAACAATGACCAAAAATTAGTTTGATGCTTGTCACAAAAGGTAAAAGTTGGTGTGGATGATTTGCAAGACCAAATTTCTCACTGAAAAAGCACATCACAATAAAAATGATTTTGACTGTTAGATAAAGATTAAGACAGCTAACTTAAACTCTCATTTCATCAAATCCACTTTAAAATACATATGAAAATATGAGTTGTTTATCTTTATCTAACAATCGCAATCCACTATATTCCCACCAGAAGAGTAGTTCAGTGGTATGAGTTGGAAGCTTGATCTCTGCTACTTGCAAATTCTCATTTTCTAAACAAATTAACTACTTAGAATTTGCTTGTGAAAAAATAAAGATCCACTAGTGCATAACAACACAAGTTGACACTTTGACCAATACAAAATGAAAATCAAGATGAAAACTAAAAGAAATCATGTTTTAAATTTGCATCTTTCATGTCAGATTTTAATAAAATGATTTTTTAGCAGACGAAATTGACTGGTCTTTTAAACAACTTGAACAGAATTCAAGTGCAGCAACTTGATTGGCCGCGACATAAAGCAGCACCAAACCAATTTGTCAAAAAGCATCATAATCATTATTTTTATGCAGCATTATGGTTATTCTAAGAACAAGAATCAAAGTATCCAATCAAAGCATAACAATAAAACAAAACCATTTCTGGAAAAAAAACATAAAATAAGATAAAATGCAAAATTCTAAACTCACCTCTCCGGCAACCGGTGCCTTTGGCAAATCCATCTCCCCGGAAACCATCCAAACACTGACACCGAAATCCAAAACCATTTCCTTGTAGACGCACCTTCGAACAAGTAGCATTGTTAGAACAATCACAAGAACCTTGAATCCACCACCCTAATTCAACCGCTTGAAACTGCAACGAAATCCCTTTATTCTGTTCAACAGAAACAGCTGAGAACAAATAGCTACACTTAGTTTTATTCAATTCCTCATAACTCAAAACATCAACCTCTCCTTTATGTTCATTAAAACAACTTATATTACTACTTTTACTATCACAGCTTTCAACTTCAATCTGATTTCCAACAAAACTCGAAGCCGGAATCACACATCCACCAAGCGGAGCAGAACAACCTTGAACAAGAAAACTATTATTTCTTGTCGGAGCAAAATTCTCTCTGAAAAGCGGTCGAATAGACTCCATACTCCGGTTGCATTTCGCAGGAAGGTAGATTAACAAACTCTTTTCAGTTACATTCTGAATCAGAAATTCACCAATTCGAGGCGTGTTATCATAACAGTCCAATTTGATTCCACAACCTTCAGAGAATCCAAACGGATATTGAACAATTTCATCTCCACAACGTTTCAAACAGTTTGTGCTATTCTGCGCACTCGTTATGTTCGATAAAATGCTCCAAAAGAAAACTGTTGAGATCGTGATCACAAAGTTCATCTTGTGATGAAGAAACATTTTGTTTGGTAATCACTGATCAAGAAATTGAAGTATATTAGAAAATAAAATCATATACGTGTTGAGTTTTTCAGGCGATGGATTAAATGAGAAGTTAAAGCTGGTGAAATAAGCGGTTGGGTAGCCATCTATTATAATTAATGCTCGTTTGTTTGTTGACAGAAAAAATTGAAAAACTTGAAGTAATTGTAATAGTACCTTTAAATGTTGTAGCAGTTGAAGAAGTAAATTCAGCACACAGTACGATAATGAATTCTTGATTTTTTTATCCAACGGAAAACTATAGTGGAAGGAAGAAGCTACATGAATGAATGAACAAGTTGTAGTGTTTTTTTTATGTAGGGTAGAGAGAACCTTCGACTCGTTCACACTTGTTTCGTGGGGTTTTGTAACGGAAAATGCGTGTATCGACATGTTTGTTTATTTTTTCACATGTGGAATGGCGGAAATGCCCCTTGTCCTGAGGGGATACTACCTGTATCTAAGAGTGTATATGTAGAAGTCAATAAAGGCAAATCATACGGTGTTTGACTATGGAGAGAGTTTTTTTTTTTTTTTTTTTTTACAATTCACTCGACCAATTAATTCAATTTTCAACTCACTCTCAATAACATTTGCTGAGAATTGAATCGTAATCCTTTTAAATTTAATTTGATAGCAGCTCGATATAATTAATACTACATCACTTTTTAATTTAAAAATAAATTAGCATTTTTAAGTAATTTGCATTAAAAGTACCAGAATCTAACTTAACTTAAATTCAGTACTAAAGAATTTACCTATTAAATAATTATTAAAAAATAATAATTTTTTTCATAAAATTAATCTTTATCAAGGGTGAGATAAAGATAAATTCAAAAAATATATAAATTATTATTATAAATAGTTAAATATATGAGAAAGAATATCATTGATATTTAAAATAACTTATAATTTAATATAATACTAATATTTTTTTTTAAAGTGACTATATTAAGAAAGAAAGTACTAGTAATAATTATGTCTCTTTTTCAAACGGTTCTCTCACAGCCGCACTAATAATCACAAATTATCTTACTACTACTTTTGCTTTTACTTTTACATTTATTCATTTCAAAAACAAAATATTTTACATTACTTTGGATTTTTTTATGGTTAATGGGTCACTAAACTAGTTTTATATATTCGTGGGATAAGAGTGATTCTTCAGTTTGGGGGAAGGATTTGCATAACATTGAAAAAAGAATTTGGGATTTTAAACCTAATTAAATGGCGATGAATTTTAAAAGAATTATAGGAAATGCTGATGAATCTTTTCTTTGGTTGGATTCGTGGTGCGGTGGCATATCATTAAAATATAAATATCATTGTCTTTTTAATATTTGCGGAGAAAAAAACGTTTGATTAGTGATTTATTATTAATAGATCGGGAGAAAATGCATAGGAGATTTAGATGGGATAGAGCTCTATCACAAGAAGAATCAACTTTAGAAATTGTAATTGGAGACAAAATTCATAAGTTAAATGTTAATCCAGAGAGAAGGGATAGTTGAAATTGGGGTTTAGGACAATACACAACCAAAGAAGCCTACAAGTTAATTATGGCGAGAAAAAACTCTAATGAGGGAGGACTAAACTTCAGTGAAGTTTGGAACAAATTTGTTCCACTAAAGGTGGTTGTTTTTGTTTGGCGTTTATTTCAAAATAAGATTCCTTCAAAAGACAATCTGGTGAAAAAAGGTGTGCTCAACCAAGCACACTCAGAATGTCTGTTTGGATGTGCGGTTACTGAAAATGCTTCTCACATTTTCTTTGAATGCAATTTTCTTTCTATGCAGATTTGGTCATGGGTCTTAAGATGGCTGAACATTTATTCAGCTCTACACAACAAGGCTATAGACAACTTCTATCAGTTTGAAGGACTTTATGAGTTAGGCAGAGGTCGAGTGAAGAAATTCATTGTAATTTGGTTCGCCTGTATTTGGGTAATCTGAAAGGGGCATAATGAAAAAGTGTTTAAAGATGGGCCTCGATTGGCAGAGCAGCTGAGCGATGAAATTAAGATCCTGTAATGGAATTGGCTGAAGTGCAAACTCAAAGGCTTCAATTACCCCCTCAACCAATCAATCTGGCAACATGCTTGGGAATCAGAGGGTGATTTGCTACAGTACTAAGGCATGTTTTAGAGAATTACTATTGAGTGTTCCAATGAACAAAGTTTGTTTTTTCGCTTCATGATGGTTCGTCGGCACTTGATCTGTGGCTTTAGTTTGTATCTTCCAATATATTGGTGGAATACACTTCTCTTTTTGGCTTAGGGATGTTCTCTTTTTCCTGGTTGAAAGTTGTTTTTTTTTTGTGGCTTAGCTAGCATGGGAACCGTTGTAGAATATTCATATTGCTTTATTGGTCTGTCGCGTGTGATGGTATCATGTTCATTTCAAGTTTGATTTTGGTCTGGTGTATTGGTCAAATGGTTCTGGTGGCATGTCTCAAAAGACACTCTGGAAGGCTGGTCTGAGTTTGCTCTGAACAAGGTACACACACACACACACACACACACACACACACACACACACACACACACACACACACACACACACACACACACACACACACACATATATATATATATATTATAAAGGTTACGAAGTTTATAGGAAAAAAATAAATTATGATGCAGAGGTTGCTCCAATATCGGGATAATTTTTTCGATTGTGTCTGGGCTGACGCCATATACTACAATAATCTTACCATTTTATCAGTCGTATTCATTTATGTTCTAATACGCGTACTAATGGGGTAACCCTTTTTCTTCCTTCGTATATTATCGTTGTTCCAAATTATTTTTTACTCTTTCATCATTTTTATGCAGCTTTCACTGAATAATTGCTCTGACCGTAACACTGCAATCTATTTTTCGCCTCTGATTGCAAAAAGTGATCCTAACCAAAAATAAGTTGCTCTCACCAATGTGGTTGTTGGTTTCTAATGCCTTTGAAGACGCCGTTCATGGATTCCATAAGATTTGTTGTCATGTGGCCCCGTCGACGTTCTCCGTCGAATACAATTGTTCACTTCTCAAATGGAACGTTATCCGCCCACATTAATGCATCGCATTTGACAATCTAATTTTGTTGCAATAGTGTCAAAATGATGGTTTATTTAAAGCATACCTTGCATTTACAAAAAAAAAAATTCTGAAGGTTCTTGTCTTTGATTTCCCGCATGAAGTTTTATGCAAAATATCTGAGGATGGCTCATCGTCATGCAAGTATGCCCAACCCTTCTTCCTGCCATAGGCAAAACGCCCAAACATCACAACAACCATATGACTATCAAACACCACAAAAATCATTTCAACATTTCTCCAACAAATCATCCACACCAATGTTTCCCTTCAATCTTCTAGGTCGCACACCAATAACTCCATCAACATATCCCAACTACTCTGGCATAGGTCACAAACTTAGTTACGACAGTGTGTCAATACATACACAAGACTTCCTAGAAATGAAAAAACTTCTTAGGGATTCTGATGATTTTCTTGAGATCTCAAATCATCAAACATACAAGGTGAATCAACAATGAGTGCAACGAGTTAAGGAACCTATTGGGTGTGGAACCGGAGGCCGATATGAACAACACGGTCATCCTCGTTAGTGTTAACACCCTTAAAACATAAACACATCCCAACAACACACGAACATAAAATCGCCTAAAACATTAACGCAAACAACAAATAAAAACACTTAAAATAGACATATGTCTAAGATATTACAACAAGTAAAACAATATCATCTGGTGAAGACATCATAGCTTTAACATCAGTGTCATTTTTAACTCATACACACATACGTTGAATATCATTATTGTAATTTGCAATTGAGATATATGAAACAACTCTCTCAATACTTCTAATTATTTCCCAGTCTAGAATCTTTCCATCTAACCAACAATTCAAACTCCTTTCAAGATTATCGAAAGTTTGGATGTTCCAAAAAAAACATTTTCATCAAAGACTTTATTCTCGAATAAAACACATGCCTATTTCTTCTAACAATCATGATAGAACTATTAAAGTTAAGAATGTTAGTTTATGTGCGGTCTCTAAGAGAGGGTGAATTAGATTTATTATATTTTTCTCAATTTGAAGTGTTAGCACTAGCTTTGTTATTTTTCATAATTGATATAAAAGTAAAAATGCTGAAAAATAAATGCAGAAAGTAAAGGACACAATGATATATCCTGGTTCCCCTCACTGCCCGTGATAGATTTTCCACTATGTCATATTTTTGTACAAGTCTTCAACCAAGACCTATCCTACAATCTTCTAACATAAGCAACACAATCAATAAGGAGAATCCCCTTATGATCTTTACAAAGTGAAACAAGAGATCAATCCTCCCTTATTCACTCTCTTGTTTCTAACAATCCTGGACAATAAGGTATACACAAATCTGATTTTGTAACAGAAGTTATAACTCTTGAATCAATTATGTTTTAATTGATTTTCTCTTTGTATTGATCACAATTCAAACATGTACACCTAAGTGCTCAGAATAATATGAATGGAATTTTAATGAATAGTATGAAAGTTCATGCATAAAGTTTATAATTGAAAGTTTAGAAAACTTGGTTGGATTATGACATGTGAAAGATGTATGTCAAAGAATCTCTTTTGAAATATGAAAGTTTTGTGTCTAAGAGTTTAAAAAAAACTGAAATCATGGGTGTGTGTTTGTGTGTGTACACACACACACACACACACACACACACACACACACACACACACACACACACACACACACACACACACACACACACACACACACACACACACACACACACACACACACACACACACACACACACACACACACACACACACACACACACATATATATATATATATATATATATATATATATATATATATATATATATATATATATATATATATATATATATATATATATATATATATATATATATATATATATGTGTGTGTGTGTGTGTGT